GCCCCCCCCCCCCCCAATAGCAGGCAATTTACAGATGTCTGTATAATTGGTTGGCACTTCAGTGTCATAGATTTGTTTGGTTGCAGTGGACCTCAGGAGACCTCCTAGTACTTTCTTCAGGTAGTCTTGTGTGTAGATGGACTACCCTTGGCCAATGCTTGACTTTTCTGTTCTTAATACCTCTAGAGAAGTAACTTTAACAAGTTTCCTTCAATCAATATTTGTTTCATGCCTAAGCTGGTTTTGCTGCTTTTATCTCAGTTTGGGTTTTGTTTTGGTTTGGTTTTTTTCCCATCTTCATAACAGTTTTGTACTGAGACACCTATAGCTTCTTCATGCAAATTTTTAAAAACACCCTGTAACTTTCTTTACTGGATTTTTATTTGTCTACACACTACTTAAAGCGTAGCATTTAATTAGGACATTAGTACTCTGAGGCTTTGAGAAAGGATGGAGTAGTTGCTTCCCTGTGTAATAACGCTTGTTTTAGTAATTCCGAAATGAGTTGTAAATTTTTGAAAGCATTTTGTTTGCTTATATAGTTTGTATTTCACTATGCTCTCCAGACATATTCTTTTCTTTAGTGTACTACCGTGTAGTCAGTTATTCCCAGTTTTAGATTTGAGCTCTCCTTCAGCTAAACTTTGCCTTGTCAGTGTCAGGCCATCTCCTCTGTGTGTCGTGATTATTTGAACCCTTGTCCGCACCTGACAGATGCTTCAAGTCCCTGACAATGTTGTCATCTGCAGATATTAGGAGTGCTGATATAAACTACAACTGTTACTTTGAATAAATTATCCTTCATGTTAAGCCAACATACTGGCTTGCTTTTGGAGGACTTCATTTTGAAAAGTGACCAGTAAAGTAAAATTTATTTTTCAGAGCAAAGTTTTCATTTGCCTTTAGTTCATAAAGGACTGTTTTCCAGGTCATTCTGTTTATTGTGAGAGCTCTTGCCTTGGGTATTTAATGTTTTCCTGTACAATGTAGTTGGGGCCACTATTTTCCAGAGTAAGCTGTCTTCTATTCAGACTAAGTGTTTGGAAAGTAGTTCAGCTTATGCAGTAGTATTTTTAAAGTAGCATATTCCTACAATGGAAAAGGAAAATGGTAAGACTCTTCAGTCAGACTCTTAACATGAATCACTAGACTTACCCTTGCTGCAATAATCTTAAGTGTATGAATGGTTTTTTACAGGCGAACTTCCAGAAATTATTTTACTGATACTTAGTGGTTTGCAGAATGGCTAAAATAGGGGGAAAAGAAAACCTGTGTGGTGGTATATACTTATTATGTATTTACTGTCTTTGTTCATAAACTGCTGTAAACTGCTAGTCACAGAAGCTGGTAATGAGAATTACAACGGTCCTAAATGTCCAAAAGACAGAATCTTAACATGACTTGCGGTGGCTTTGCAATGAGGAGTCTATGGGACTGAGTTATATGTGTGGGACTCGGCAATGCTGGTCTCTTATTGGAGGAATTTTAGTATTTTCTGCATGATCTGTACTTTATTCCATATGGCATGGTAAAGAAGTATCTTAACAGAAGGGGCAACCATTTGGTTCTGGTGTATCAGCAATAGTGTTTTCAGGGTGTAAAATTTAACGGTGTTTTTTTATTACCTCAAATTTTCATATTGTATGTTGACTTTTAAAAGGGTTTTGATATGATCTCCATCAATATCCATATAGCCAAACTACTACGATACAGACCGCATAAGTGGGCAATAAAGTGGCTGGACCACTGACCTCGATGGGTGTACTGTACAGTACAAAGTTCAGCTGGCAGCCAGTTACCCATGATGGAGCTTGATACTGAGGACAGTACTGCTTAATGTCTTCATTAGCAGCCTGGATGATGGTGAAGAGAGTACCCGCAGTAAGTTTGCAGATGCTACCAAATCGGGCAAAGTAGCTGATACAGTGGAAGGCCAGGCTGCTATTCAGAGGGAGTTTGGCAGGCTGACAGGAACCTCATGACATTCAGCTAAGGCAAATGCAAGTCCTGCACCTGGAAGAGAATAACCCTGTGTAACAGGACAGGCTGGGCAATCACTGGCTAGACAGCACTGTAGAAAAGACCTGGGTGGTCCTGGTAGACAAGTTGAATGTAAGTTAGCCGTGTGCCCTTGTAGCAAAGGCGGCTGCCAGCCTACTGAACTGCATGAACAAATGTGGACTCAGAAG